CTTTTTCCTTTTCCTTTTATTTTCGAGAGAGATAATTTATCTGATTATTATAGGATTGGAGCAAAAGTTCCTAAATGATAAAAAAAAAAAAAAAGAAAACAAAAATCAAATAAAAAAAAAAAAAAGAAAAGGAAGAAATATCAATTACTCTTTTTTCGAAAACTTTTAGACTAATTATATATCATTATTTCTTCTTTTTTCAAATTGTAAAACTACACAAATTTAGCTTGTAAAATGACAACAAGCCTAATAACGAGCCTATTAAGTTTCGAAAAAAGAGTGATTGATATTAAAAATTACGTAGAAACTTTTTTTTTTTTTTTTTTTTTTTCGTTCTTCCATCTAAGAACTTTCGGCTCACCTCCTGTATTTATGATCGGTGGGATGATATCTTCTTTTTTTTTTTTTTTCTCTTATTCTCATAATAAATCTTTTTAATTCGATCGATTTCTTATAATGAGAATTCACGATAATAAATAATTTTTTCTTTTAAACTGGAACGAAAAAAGAGAAAGAAAAAAGAGAAAGAAAAAAGAGAAAGAAAAAAAAAATTCAAATTGATCCTCGATTGATATTTCATATCAAAGTGTATGTCTTTTCTTTCTTTTTTCTTTTTTTCTTTTTTTTTTTTGTGGTTCACTCTTAAAGAGTTACAAGCATTCAATGAAAATACGTTCTTATCCTTACAATCGCACATCGACAGAAAATTTCTACGTGTAACTATATTTAATGTTAATTATATGGAGTTTGGGATTTACACGATTAATGTTAATCATTAATTAATGAACTTTTCATATACGTCAGAGAAGAGTTCCATTTCATTTAACAAACATAGTTTCATTAACAATAACGACGATAACTTTGATAACGACGACGACGACGATGATGATGATGATGATGATGATGATGATGATGATGATGATGATGATGATGATGATGCTGATGATGATGATGATGATGATGCTGATGATGATGATGATGATGATGATGATGATGATGATGATGATGATGATGGTGATGACGACAACGATGACGATAAGGAAGAACAATTTTTTTTTCTTTTTTGAATGTGAAGACAAGCATCGAAAAAGATATTTTACTTACTGTCATACATATCTGTCGTCGTTGAAATCATAGTTATTATGTATATAATATTATATACCATGTATATAATACTATAATATATGTCGAAATATACAAAGATATGTTTTTTTATGTGGCTACTTTTCGAAAAAAAAAAATGATTTCAAAAGAATCAAAAAACAAAACAAAACAAAAGAAAAACAAAAACAAAAACAACATCATATTGCCTTGTTTTGTACATCAACCTATTTTTTTGGGGATTATTTATTTTTCGGGTGTTTTTCGTTTTTCTTTTTTTTTTCTTTTTTCTTTTTTTCTTTCAATAAACTTAGAAAAGAGAACGTTAAAAACTATCTACACTCAGAATGAGACACATTCGTTGGAAGTAGCTCGAAAGTACTAAAGTTATCCTAAAGTTACCCTGACATATTATGGCGTCCACTTCGACGCATTACTCACAGCCACCCTCTTCCCTTTTCTTCCTTCGCCGGTGACGATGATGATACTTTGTTTTTCCTTTTTTACTCCTCTTTTTCATACAATTCTTTTTTCTTTTACCTTACAAATCAACTATGTTGTTACTCTCTAAAATAGAACGAACAAAAGAAAAAAAAAAAGAATATGTCGATTTATAAATCATGTTTCTTCTATCTATTGACGATCTCTCTCTCTTAAGCATTTTGTTTCTACTTTAAAATTACACCTCTGTCTCTTGATTTTACGTGATTTTCTTTCTAAATGTAGATTATCAAAATTTTAATTAATTTATATCAATTTTATATTTTATTTTAATTATTTTATACAGCGGTACCTTTAAACGCGATCTAATTTCACGCGATTAGAAATTACATACGTATATTTTTCTATAATTTTTTTTTTTTTTTTTTTCTTTTTTATATAATTTTCAATCTATCGTCGACTCAATATGACTGAAGTATGAGATTTTTTTTTTTTAATGAATGCTTCGACCTTGAAATAATTAAAAGAGAAAACGTTGATTGATTTAAAGCTCTGATACCGCGATAACGAAACAACGAATAAAATTTCTTTTACATTTTGCAGAATACTTTATAATTTTTCTTTTTTTTTTTCTCCTCCCCCCCTCCCCGCCTCCTTTTTCTTCCTGATATGAAACTATATGAAGAATAAATATTTTTATAACTTATACCATGACTTTTCTATCTGTAATATTTTTTTTCCATATTGGCAGATTTCATTTTATATTCGCGTAAAAAATAACCGCATGAAGAAGAAACACATCGCGTAAATCAAGAGGATCGGTGTACCGTGTAAAAATTTCTTTCTTTCTTTCTTTCTTTCTTTCTTTTTTTTTTGTTTTATAATATTATATAAGTTTTTTGTTTTATAAATGCTAAAGTATCGTCAACCGGTGAAAGTGTTTGCGAGTGACAATTAATAGATCTTCTTCTTCGTTTTCTTTTTCTTCTTCTTTTTCTTATTCTTCTTCTTCAGTCTTTGATTACTCTTCCAGAGAAGCTATCCACAATCTTCTCGCAGAAAATAATATCATCTCTCGTCGAAGTCAGATCTGGGCACATTTGTTGTTTTCAAACGAAAAAAAAAAAAAAAACAAGAAAAAAAAGAAAAAAGAAGAAGCAGTTCAAGTAATATCTCAAATAACGAAATCCATTTTTATGATCGTGACAAACAATTTATAAAAAAAAAAGTAAAAAGAAAGAGAAAAAAGAAACAAACAAACAAAAAAAAGAAACCATTTATATACTTAACATTTATACATACGTAGGATGGATCGAAAGTTTTTGAATGATTTAAAAAATCAATTACTCTTTTTTTTTCAAGACTTTTTTTTAGATTTGTAATTGAGCTTTTAGTTTTACAATTTGAACAGTTTATAAAAAAATCTCGGTAAAGAGTATATATCGATTCTTAAAATCAATCAAAGATTTTTGATCTCATATCATATATTTAAATTAATTATATCAAGATAATATTTCAATCGAACTAAATCATTTCTAATGAAACAAATGTGACACATACACAACACTCACACACACACACATACACACACACACACACACACACACACGCGTAATTCGTTTAATATTATTAAAAATGAAATTAAGAAATAATAATAAATTTTTTTAATGCCCAGATCTGATTAAAAACTAACGATACTACATGCTATATCTATATAATTTAAACAAATTTAAAGGACTATGCGATTATTTAACCTTCTGATCATTCGTAAATGTCGATATAGAACTCGATGAAAACGCGATTTTGATATACGATAAAAGGCGACGCGTTTTACATACATACACATACGCGATGGAATTTTATATGGATATTTAAAATGTTCATCAGCTCTTTCTCTCTCTCTCTCTCTCTCTCTCTCTCTCTCTCTCTCTCTCTCTCTCTCTTTTTCTCTTTCCTTAATTAATTCAATTTATACAAATATGAAGCGCCTTATATCCATGATGAAAATCGATAGTACAGTTGATGTATCAAGTAAGACGATGATGATCAAGAAATTTTATCAACGTCTAAACTATTAAAGTAATCTCTCTCTCTCTCTCTCTCTCTGTCTCTCTCTTTCTCTTCAATAATGAATAATAATGTCGGACATAATATCAATAATATTCACTCGATCAATCTCGAATAAAACGGGAAAATTATAAATGATCAGCTTGATTTAGTTCGAGTCTCTCGATCATCATTATCGTCGTCACTGTGATCACCAAGGCATAGTGTTCGAAAATAATGATAATGATAATGATGATAATAATAATAATAATAATAATAAAACATTATGTCTTATGGTAAGATCGTTGGCATAAGAAGAGATGTTAACAGTCGGTCGATTTTTGCCAATTTTGACGGAGGTAGGTAAAGCTGTTGCCAATGTTGGCGGAAGGCGTGCATGGTTTGAACCGTGAAGAAGAGAATTTTCCATATAAACGGAATTGTTTTCCGTCTTATCCATCTCCGCTTGACCATAAGGGATCTTGTTATTATCCTCATCGTAGAAGGAAGCCCAAGTAGCCAGTTCCGTTTTAGCTGGTCCAGGTATTTCTGTAATAGAATCGACAAGAAAAAGGAAAACACAAAAAAATACAGACGCACCAAGAGACATTTGGTACGATACATCTTCTGAAACATTATTGTCCATGGAAAATAAAAAGAATGGGAGGAAAAAGTAAAAAAAGGGATAGAAAAAGGAAACGGGAAAAGAAAAAGGAAAGGATAGGAAAGGCAAAAGAAAAGAAAAGAAAAGAAAAGAGACATATCGTTCTCGATACATTGCTCCATTATTCTCTTCCTTCTTCTCATCTTCTTTTCGATGCTAAGCTTTTTCACTTACCGTACAAACGAATTGTGCTGTCAACTTCGCCAAGAGAATTCTTCGCTGCACAGTGATACGTTCCCACGTCGTGTTTCTGTAGATTCTTTATCGTCAGGATCATACGTACTTCAAATGTAGACTTCTCGATCATGTCGACTACGTGTTGCGTACTGGATATTATCATCGTTCCTTTTTGGACAAAAGGAGAGAAAGGGGATACAAGATTTGTTTACAAATCGTTTATTCGAGATATCAAAATTCATAAAATTTGTCGTATCATCTTTATCTACATCGAGATAGGTTTATCGAAAAAGAAAATAAATCGAAAGAAAACGACAAAGAAAGAAAAGGAAAGGAAAGGAAAGAAAAAGAAAGAAAGAAAGAAAGAAAGAAAGAAAGAAAGAAAGAAAGAAAGAAAGAAAGAAAGAAAGAAAGAAAATATCTTCGAGACATATCTCCTTATTTCCTTTTTTCTTCTATATCGTATTTTACGATTTTTTTTTTGTTTTTTTTTTCCTTTACGTGACTTACATAGAACGTGACGATCGAAAACTTTTCTAGATGAATTTTAAACGTCGATTATTTCTTTCCAATGACTTTTTAAATTAAGTGGCTTTTTCTTTTCTTTTTTTTTTTCTTTTTTCCTTTAAATATTTAAAAAATCGAATATTTTTATCACAGATAATACTACAAGATTAAGAAATTTTAATCCGCTTTACGTATCTTCCTCAGTCGTATAATAATTTTTGACATATCCTAAATAAAATTGGAACAATTATAAAACTACGTGATATTCTTAACGATATATACACCTTCTATAACTTTTTTATATTACTTATATATCATCCTTCGGATAATTTTCAAATGTTTTTAAATAAAATACAAAAATAAAAAAAAAAAAAAAAGGAAAAAGAAAAAAACAAATAATTTCAAACATGATCATACCTTTTTCCTTCATCCAATAATTAATCGACATAGGAGATGCTTCGACGTAGCATTCCAAAACAACATCAGTACCTAAAGGAGCTCCAACTAGTTGATTAGGTACATGAATAGCAGGAGTGACTGAAAAGGAGTATCATAAAATATTTAAGTAATTATCAATTGAAACGTTAAAAACTATTAAGATAATTTGTAATATAAAATATGAACGAATGATTATGATGAATGGTCCAATGTGGTCATGCATATTTTGACATTTTCATTAGAATAAATTTATTCAATTATTTTTCTACAATTATACGAGCATAAATCGTACAAATAATTATATTATATAATGTAAACAATTTTAAGATAATAATCCTTAACAAAATATGTTTTTTTTTTTTTCTTTTTTTTTTTTTTTTTTTTCAATAATCACAAATGACTCAGATCACTTTGATAATCATCGGTTTCGTACGTACGTACATACATACATGAATATACATCTACATATTATCTACGTTTAATTACTTACAATGAACGTTTATAGAAATTCTTTTGCTAACTGCCGGTGGTACTCCATTGCTAGCAATACATAAATAAACGCCCATTTCGGTCCTCGAGATTTTCGTTAACTTTAATTCCTCCCCATGAAATTCGGTTAGAGTTGTTACTGGAAAAAAAAGCAAGAAAAAAGGGGGAAAAAAAAAGAAAAAAAAAAGAAAAAAGATAGGAAATAGAATGAACGATTGAAAAGAAAGAGAGAAGGAAAGGAAAAAAAAAAGAAGAAAAAAAAAAAAAAAAAAAAGAAAAAAAAGATCTAATAGTTTGAAAGAACAGAGGATGATTTTCTACCCGTTTATCTAAGGCGTTCCGTTTAAATTCGAAAAGAAAAAGAGGGGAAAGAGAGCACGTGACTATTAAGTCACCTTAATGCTTTCCATTGTTAAGTAGTTCGAAGAGGAAAGGGAGGAGAGAAAATGTTGATAGGACGACGACGGTAACATCAAGAAGAGGGAAAGCGTTAACCGCTAAACCGTGCAAGAGTTTCCTTGTGATTCACCACCAACAACGATGAGAGGACGTTGAGGAGGATGAGGATGAGGATGAGGATGAGGATGAGGGTGAGGACGAGGATGAGGACGAGAAAGACGACGAAGACGACGACGACGACGAGGATGAGAAGGAGGAGGAGGAGGAAGAGGAGAAGAAGGAGGAGGAGGAGAAAGAAGAAGAGGAGGAGGATGAGGATGAGGAGGAGGATGAGGAGGACGTCGCGAGGTATATGGCTCATTAAAGCGGCTCGTGTTTGTATGCCACACCACAAGGCGGTTTAGAATTGGACGTAATCTCAAGTAGAAGACCAAAGTCAGATTTTCAGCTAAATTGAGAAGATCCGCGACTTGAAATCCGCGACAGCGTGAAGGAGAAGAAGAAGAGGAGGAGGAAGAAGAGGAGAAAGAGGAGGAGGAGAGGGGAGGGACAGCTGTTAGACATGAACGTTTGCAGGATCCTGCGTGAGTGGAACAGTAGCAGTAGCACATCCTCCTTTTCTCTCTCTAAAGAGAGGAAAAAGAGCAAGAACGCGTTACTCTTACGAAACGACGATGGAGGGGTGTGCCGCGTGTTCTAAAAATTTCTTCTTCGACTCTCTGGATTCCCTGCTAAAAGAATATTACGTACTTTAGTGTAAAGGACTCGGGCATTTTTTTCCTTTCTTTCTTTCTTTCTTTCTTTCTCTCCTTTTTTTCTCGTTCTCTATCTTCTTTTCTTTTTTTTTCAAAATTATACTTATTGGTTGGAAAAAAAAACAACAACAACAAAAAAAAGTACTCATCTTTTTTCTCTTCTTTTTTTTTCTTTTCTTTTCTTTTTTTTTTTTTTTTTTTTTTTTTTTTTTTAAGCAATACATTAAGAAGATCTTGTAATGTCTATGGAGATAATTTATTGGATATTTTATCGCGATAAAAATAAATTGTATTTATTTATTTTCAAGTATATATATTTTTATATATGTATATAAAAATGTTAATGATTTCCTTGGTATAAAATTAAATTGATTTATCAAATTTTCATTCTAAAACATTTTATGTATATATATATATATATATATATATATATTTTTTTTTTTACATTTCGTTCGAAACGATCCTTTAGCAAAATATTATCAATCATAACTAAAATTATCGCGTCATATTTATAATAGGAATGAGCAGGTGGGGGTAAGAAGGAGACAGGTAGTTGGTGGTGGTGGTGGTGGGAGGGCGTAGGGAGGGGTTGTCGGACAATCATAAAGATTTAGAAAGGTAAACGTATTTTGCATGTTAATGATCGAAAAATCAGTGCTATCGTACTCGTGGCGGTCCGATAGAAGAAGCTATACTGAACCTTCGGGTGGGATGGGATGAGGTGGAATAGGGGGTGGGGATGGGGGTAGGACTCTACTGTCGTTGCTAGTATAAAAGTGCCCTTGCCATGTGTCGCAATGTCTCGAGTCATATACATCGTGCTGCAACTGTGTCTGATAGTGCAACGGAATTTGCCCGCCATTAGTAACACCATGCCGTTGTGAATACTAAGTACCTCGTTTACATCGGGTTCAAAACCGGAAGGAAGAAAGGAAAGGAAAGGAAAGGAAAGGAAAGGAAAGGAAAGGAAAGGAAACGAAAAAAAGAAAGAAAAGAAAAGAACGGTCTGGAGTCTTTGGAGACCGTCGAGAGAGGGAGGGGGTAGAGAAGGGAAGAGAACGACCTGCTCCAACTAAAAAATATTCTCTCATCGATCTAATAATAATAATAATAATGATGATGATAATGATAATGATAATAATAATAATAATAATAATAATAATAATAATAATAATAATAATAATAACGTCGATAAGTTCATATCAAAAGAGAAAAAAAATGGGACTAATTATGTATATAAACTTATGTATATATGCATGTATATACGCGAAATATATTTAGAGAGTACATAATACGGGATGGATCGATAGTTCCTAAAATGATTTTTTTAAAAATCAATTGCTCCCTTTTTTCGAGACTCTTCAAGCTTGTAGTTAGGCTCGTTATACATTTCGAGAAAGAAAAATAATTAGCTTAAAAGAGGCTCAAGAAAGATCTTTAAGAATCATCTAAAAACTTTTGGAGGACTACTTTATACGAATCTTTGTGGTTAAATCTATAGATTGATCTAGAGATCAAAATTGGAGCGTTATTATTATTATTATTATTATTATTATTATTATTATTATTATTATTACTTCTATTTTTTTTGAATGAATGACTAATTTGCTTAATAAAAAAAAAAAAAAAAAAAAAAAAGGAAAAAAAATGAAAATGAAACAAAAAACGCAAATTGAAAGGAAAAATAAAAAGTACGTATCGATTCCACTTTTCTTTTTATATTATTATTATTTTTTTTTTTTTTTTCGTTTCGATTAACGGTAAATTGTAAAAGGACGATGCATATTTAAAAAACTACTGAAGCTTAATAATCGATATAATCCTGATTCACCGTTTTATGAATCTTTAAAGAGAAAACTTCTTCCCTATGCGAATATATCGACCGTATTCTCTCTCCCTTTCTTTCTCTCTCTCTCTCTCTCTCTCTCTCTCTCTCTCTCTCTCTTTCGTATATAATGTAAGTCACGCGCATGTAAATCTCGTATTAATTGTTTCCAACCTCGCGTTACCTCGTTTCCTCGTCATATTTCATTCTAAAATAAAAACAAACAAAAAAAATAAAACAAACAAATAAATAAATAAATAAATAAATAAAAATAAAAAAAATAAAAAGATAGAAAGAAAGAAAGAGGTCCGCTGCTAATTATTATCCTACCATAACTAAATATATTAAATGTAATATGATCATATATATACATATGTATCTACATACATACATACATACATACATACATACATATATATATATATATATATATATATATATATATATACATATACGTAGAGATAGGTTGGTTGGATGGTAATGGGGAGCCACAGTGATTTGCCATTCATGAAATCGCTTATCAAGACTCAGTTAGGCTTAGTCATTAAACTATCGCTTGAAAAATGTTGATATCGGTTGTTTTAGAAAGTTAATTAAATTTTCTTGGTAATTATTCCGGAGGTACTTATAAACGAAAAAGAGAGAGAGAGAGAGAGAGAGAGAGAGAGAGGAGGAGAGAGAGAGAGAGAGAGTGGGAGAGAGAAAGAGTGAGAGGGGAGAAAGTGAGTGTGAGAGAGAGAGAGAGGGCGGGAGGGGAGAGGGAGAACATTTGAATATTCACGAGTGGCACGATTGCGTCTGAGGAGAGCACAATTATACGTACATTCTACTTTACATGGAGAAACGGTAGGATATATATTAAATCTTACCGTGAGACTTCTGGTTCAAAGCACTTCCTGCTGGCTCCCGAATTATAATACCCTTGCCGTCTTCTCTACGCCAGGATACGCGGGGCGGGGGTACGCCTCTTGCACGGCACGTTAACTTCACCTGTACGTGTTATGAAAGCGGAATTATAAATAGAATAGACTTTATTATTGCGTTATGCTAATAGTCCTATGTACTATCTATCTGGTCATATTCGTTACGTTCGAACCAAGTCGAAAACAATCGAAACGAGCAAGATGATAAAATAGATCAACGTCATAGATCGTAGTAAGGATCTATGGTGTATTAAGTTGTTCGTTCGTAAAGTTTCTCCTATTATTTGCCATATATTCCAAAACATATATATATATATATATATATATATATTTATATATATATATATGTACATCATAATACATTGTACATAATAATAATAACAAAACCATTTACCTGGTTTATGGTTATATTGAAACTAAGGATTTTCATCGACTTCCTTCTCTATATGTATTTTTTACTTTTTTTTTTTTTATTATTTTTTATTTATTTATTTATCCATTTTATTTTTCTTTTGTCTTTTTTTTCTTTTTTTTTTTTTTTTTTTGTAAAATTCATCTCCTCATTGATAAGGAAGAATAATCGATATGAACTATCTCTAGGCAGCTTAATGTACAGTATTTAGTTATATGCTAACCTGACCATTTTCACCAACGTTGACGTCACTGGATGTATCTTCTGGTACGAAGTCAGGTGGTACCACGATTGACAGCATACCTGTCTAAAACAGATATAGGAAAATGTAAGGGGAAACAAACAGAAAAAAAGGAGAAGAAAGAAAAAAGATAAAGAAAAAAAAGTATCAATGAGATTATACGTTTTGATAGAGTTTGAAAAAAGAGAAAAGAAAAAGAAAAAAAAAAAAAAAAGGAAATAACGAAATAAAGTAAAATATTTAACAGTCATAGTAAACTAAAAGCCTACCTGGCTTTTCATCGGATCCGTATTAATCTGACACATATATAAACCCTCATCTTCTACTTGGACACCCTTTATATTAAGATTCCACATGGTATGATCACTATGAGACACCGAAATTCTCTTGTTGTGTGTTATTACGTGATCGTGAATGGCCTGTATCGCTTTGGTGTCGGCCTTCACCCAGCCTACCTGCCCAAAAATCAGCAGAACGCGAAATTAAAGTTGGAGCAGCGTGTAATGATAACGTACGCTTGTATCATCCCGAAAAGATCTCTCTTTCTCTTTCTCTTTCTCTCTCTCTCTCTCTCGCTCTCTCTCTCTCTTATCTTCAGTCATACCCCGAGATACATGAGAGAGAGAGAGAGAGACAGAGAGAAAGAGAGAGAGAGAGAGAGAGAGAGAGAGAGAGAACTTCGTGGCAGATATAGGTGGGTATATATATATCATGGAACGAGAAAATCGTTTGGTTTATTTCGAAAAATCCTTTTCATTCCTAGCTTAAGCTTTAACGTTTCGTCCTTTCGTTTTATAACTCGCAATCGCTCGATTGAAATTTTCTCTATATATACGTTCTTCCACTCTTTTGAATTTCCTTCTATTACATCCACTTCTATTTTCCTTTTTTCTTCCTTTTTATCTTTTTTCTTTTTTGTTTCTTTCATTAGATAGATCATCGTTTTTATCTATTTATATAATGCAAAGATAAGTTTTTTTTTTTTTTTTTTTAATAACGTTTAAAAAGGAACCTTATGATTGGACGTGTTATAAAACGAGTTATTATTTCTAATTATTATTTTGGATCACGATTTAAAATCCTCTTTCGTTAAATACATTCTTTCTCTCTCTCTCTCTCTCTCTCTCTCTCTCTCACTATCTCTTTGTGTATTTGTGTGTGTGTTTGTATATATATATATATATATATATATATATATATATATATATATTCTGATAGATTTAGAAAATCCTGTTGCGCCATAAGAAAGAAAGAAAGAAAGAAAGAATGAAAGAAAGAAAGAAAGAAAGAAGACGAAGTTTGCTAGAGGGGCAAACGCTTTTTGGATAAAACTTAAGTAGGAGCTAAGAGATTTGTCTACCAAGGGCTAGGATAATCTTTTTGAGTTAAAGATCCTTTCACTCGTGTAAGCGCGTCAATAACCGGAGCACCAAAGAGGATCAACGAAAAAGAGAAAGATCCTTCTCATCGTTCCCCATATAATTATGCACAACTAACGTAAATTACATTGAAATACACGCACGTACGAGATACTCTCTAGCTTGTTCATTTAACTAATGAGCCTCTTTAAAGTTCTCTCTCTCTCTCTCTCTCTCTCTTTCTCTTTCTCTCTTTCTCTCTATACATGTAGTACGTGTACATACATACAAAGGAAGAGAGAGAGAGAGAGAGAGAGAAAGAGAGGACCAAAAGTTCGTAGGTGATTTAAAAAAAAAAATCAATTATTTCTTTCCGAGATTTGTTTATAGACTAATTTTTTTTCTTTCTTTAGATTGTTTAAAATTACGTTCTCAAGAACTTTTGGTCCACCCAGTGTATATACAATGTGTGTGTTTGTATGGTAGAAAATATTTCTGAAACGTATAACATTTCTTTTGCATATTTCATCTTAATAAATAATAAAAAAAAGTATTATAAATATTTATACATATATATATATATATATATATATGTATTAAAAAAAATATATATATACATATGTAATAAAATATATATATACATATACAAGAGTATATATATAATAATATAAGGAGACTTTCTATTTAATAACTAGAAGCTGAACTTTGAGAAGATACTTGTTGTACAGTGTCCTCTTACTCGTTGTGTTTCAAACTGAAGAGACGAACAATATGGCTCATAATGACAGAGTGGAAGGACCAAAATGACTTTGTCGACAATTTCGAGAGTGTATTTTATAAATTTAAAAAATAAAAAATAAAAAAAAAAAACAGAAAAAGAAAAACGAGAGAGAGAACAAGAGAAAAAAGAACGGAAAAGAAAAAAGAAGTACGAAGGGACGAGCCCCTTAAAATCTTTTTACTGCACGATTACTTGCACGATTAAATATTTCTTTTATATATATATATATATATATATATGTATATATGTATATAACTACTTGTTAAATCGATTTCATGAAAGAAACTTACCCTGTATCCTCCTAAATGTTTGACTAGGCACGTGAAGGTCGCGTCCCTTCCAAGTGGTATCGTTAAATTCGTAATAGGGCCAGCAAATTCTGGCTGATAAGCACCGCCTGAATGGAGATATAAAAAAAAAACAAAAAAAAACAAAAAAAAAGAAACAAAACAAAAGAGTAATAAATACAATTTATGTAAAAAAATATCAGTAAAAGAGTACGATTATTCACGAAACTCCTCTCTCTCTCTCTCTCTCTCTCTCTCCCTCTATATATATATATGTATATTTATAGACGGTGAGTCAATAATTCCTGAGTGATTATAAAAATTATTTACTGTTGCATCGTAAAACTATGTGCCTGGGCTGTAATACTCTGAGAGCAAAAAAAAAAACCTTGCCTATAAAAAGTTTCGAAAAAAAAGAAAAAAAAAAGATAAAAAAGTAATCGATTTATTAAATTACTTTTAAGGAACTTTTGGTCTTTCGCCGTATAAAAGAAAAGAAAAAAAAAAAAAAAAAACGAGGAGAAAAAAAGTAAAAGAAAAAAGAAAAAAGGAAAAAAGAAAGAAAGAAATAGAAAAAAGGAATAAATAAATAATTGACTTTAATCAACAAAGAATGTTAATCATCTTCATTGTCGATATAGAGAATATTCCCCTTTTCTTTTCTTTTTCTCTTTTTTTTTCTTTTCTTTTCTTTTCTTTTCTTTTCTTTTCTTTTCTTTTCTTCCTCACTGAAAAAGATTTTAATTTATTCATCAAATAAGATAGATCTTATTCGTACGTACATGCATACGAGATTACTCCTTATCTCTCTCTACTCTTCGAGAAATTTTTTCGAAAAATATTTCCTCTCAGGGGCGAGACACTCGAAAAAATCGAATTAAAAGCTTGTAAACAAGAATCAAAAGCGAGCTTTCTTAATTAAAGGGCTCAGAGGACAGGGAAAACAGTGACGCGTAATAAGAAATTTACGAACGAGAGAAAGAGAGTGAGAGAGAGAGAGAGAGAGAGAGAGAGAGAGAGAGAGAGAGAGAGAGAGAGAGAGAGAGAGGGAGAGAGAAAACGAGAGAAAGAGAAGAGAAGAGAGTTTGACATAGAACGTGATACTTCGTCTGAGAGGAAGAGGCAAGCTTGACCTATTTACCTCATATAGCACGAGTAATAGGATTGAAAAGTATTATGAGTGAAAGCGACAATAGCCGTGAGATCTTCGAGACTGTTACCCCGAAAAATAAGATAAACTTAAGAGAGTAAAACAAATTAAGGTAATTGACTCCGGCTAAGCTCGATTTACGTCATACGCAGGATGAAAGCTTATAAATGAGAGGAAAGAAAAAGAACAAGTAAAGGCAATCGAAAAAGAGAGGGTGAATGAGGGAAGGGCTGAGGGAAGGGCTGAGGGATGAGGAGCGATGGATGGGAAGGGAGAGGGAGAAATAGAGAAAGAGAGAGAGAGAGAGAGAGAGAGAAGTGTTTTCAAACCGAGGCGAACACAAATACGTAGATTAGCGAGTTCTCAACGCCGTCTTCTTGTGACGTTTATTTTTCTCTAGCTGCTTTATTATATTTTCCTTCCTTTTCATCATTTTTCTTTTTATTTTTCTCTCTCCCTTTTCCCCCCTCTTCAATTCTCTCCCTCTCTCCCCCCCTCTCTCTCTTTCCCTCTTTCCCTCCCCCTCCCTTCCGTCTCTCTCTCTCTCTCTCTCTCTCTCTCTCTCTCTCATCCCCTTTTTCGATAGAAGAAAAATTACTTTTCTTTTCTCTTTTCTTTTTTACCCCCTTGTTTTTCTCCTTCTCTCTTTTCTTCCCTTGTTTCTTTCTATTTCTCTCTTTTTTCTTCTTCTTTTCTTCTTCTTTATCTTTTTATTCCTTGTTTTTTTTTTTTTTTTTTTGTTCTTTTTTGTTTTTTTTTGTTTCTTTGGACTTGGATTTATACACTTTTAAATTAATTAACGATTAGGATATTATATACGATAATCTATACGTATATCGAATTATTAATAGTTTCTCTCGAACTTACCGAAAATATCGTTTGGATAGGCCAGAACAGCCAATACTACTAACAGCAGGGCCTTTTGCGTCTCTACCATTTTGACACGCGCATGGATTCAACTGTAACAAAATATAAGCAAAGTTAGTTTTCTTGTATAATAATAAAG